CGTGCGCCAAACCAGGCAGAAGAAAAAAGCGTTAAAGAATAAAAGTGAATAAAAGGAATAAAGACTTCTGGTAACTTTTTTTTAGTTTTTAGTTTTTTGAGACAGGGTCTCCCTGTAGCCCCAGCTGGCCTGGAGCTCACTATGTAGACCAGGCTGGTCTTGAACTCACAAAGATCTGCCTGCCTCTGCCTCCTGAGTGCTGGGATTAAAGGTGTACACCACCATGCCCGGCCCTAGAATGCAGACTTTTCTGGATAAAAATTCCAAACATAGAGAAAAAAGAAAAAAGGGTCAAATACAAATTCAGTCCATTAAAAAGGACAAGAGCATAGAAAAAAACAGGAAGAGTGGGCCCTGACTTTAATCCCCAGCACCCCCCACCCTTGAAAAAACAAAAACAACCAAACACCCAACCAACCAAGCAAAACAAAAAACTCAAAACAAAAAACACCACAAAATGGCTCATGGAGGCGTAAGGCCCTTGTCACCAAGCGTGGCAGCCTGGGTTCAACCCTGGGATCCACACGGTGGAAGGAGAGCACTGAATCCAGCAAGCTGTTCTCTGACTTCTGCAAGCACATTGTGTCAGGCATGCTTCCACACGTATACATATGTGAGAAGAAAATGAGGATAATTTTTTAAAAAGTTCAGACATGTAGTAATTATGTTAGTAGATGAGCTTACCATTTAAAGATGTTAAGAGATGTAAACAAAATTCAGTTTACATATTTTTTTTTGTGAGAGATACTCCATAGAGTAAGGTTAAAATAATAGAAAACAAAAATATATGGCCGGGCGTGATGGTGCACACCTTTAATCCCAGCACTCAGGAGGCAGAGGCAGGCGGATCTCTGTGAGCTCAAGGCCAGCCTGGTCTACATAGTGAGTTCCAGGACAGCTGGGGCTATAGGGAGACCCTGTCTCAAAAAGACCAAAAAAAATTACTTATTGATATTTTATTATTGTTTTAATTATGTGTATATGTATATATTTGGGGGTGGGTACAGTGCCTATGGAGGCCAGAAGACGGTGTTGGAGCTGGAGTTACAGGTGGTTGTGAGCTGCCCTACATGGATGCTGGGAGCCTAAACTGGGTCCTCAGGAAATGCAGTAAACATTCTCAATCACTGACCCATCTCTTCAACCCCAATAATTAATTTTTAAAATAAAAACTATATTATTTTAAATTTGCTTACAACAAAGCAAAGGCATAGGAAACTTTATGACTTATTCACAGTCTAAAGGGAAAGAATCAATGAAGTAAGAATTGAAAGAATGTTCTGGAAGAGATAAGAAATATAGTGACATACTGTCAAAGATGGTATCCATGACATCAGATCTGGAATTAAGCGATTAGACCCAAGCACCTTTAAGTTCTCTTAACTCCCCAAACATTTGTCCTCTGTGAGCTCATATGTGTATGTATGCAGCAACTATTGAGCACCGATGACATGTCATTCAGGTGTGAATCTGGGTGCAGAGATCAAGCAGTGAAAGAGGCACTCACCTTCAAGTGCAGGAAGGTGCTGACAGCAGCCTCAGCCTGGAGCCTGGCTCTGGCTCTGGCTCCTCCATCACTGACGGAGTGCAGCCTGTCTGCGCATCCCCTCCTCCTGAGCAGAAATAGCAGGTTAGATTGAACTTTTAAGGGACTTTAGTCCCTTCAAAATTCTGAGTCAATAAATTGGCAGAGTTCCTAGTTGTCTGACAGAAAGATGAGACTGGAAACTGCAATGTACCATTAGTTTCCTTCATTCCCCTTAACACGCCTCCTGCCCTGTGTGTGGCTCAGTGCCCCGCCCAGTTGTTTTTCTCTAGCAGAGGAGAAAGTGAGGCATCATTTTTTTGGAGTTATTAACTGAGGTGGATTTTGGAGTTTGTGGCTATGTTCAAACTTAAGCTAGGTTGCCATATTTAGAAATATTTTGAAATTTTATGATTTTGTGATAGTGTTAGATGGTCAGAAAAGAATTTTTTTTTTTTTAAAGACAAGATCTTAATGTGTAGCCCAGGCTGGCCTGGAATTCCTTATCTTCCTTTCTCAGTCTCCTGGGTGCTGAGATTACAGGCATATACCACTCTGCATGGCTACAGGAAACTTAATCCCAGTGTATCTGACTTCTCTGGTTATACAACCTCACAGTGTTTATGTTTATGGGGCCATGTTTTCTTTTTCTGTGCTTTCCTGCCCTTTCCACGGTTTCCTTAGAAAAAGGGTTTTGATCTATTTATTTTTCTTTTATGTGAGTGTTTGGCCTGCATGTTGGAAGTGCACCCATCATGTGTGTGCTATGCCCAGGAGGCCAGAAGAGGGCATTGGAGCCCCAGGAACTGGATTTAAGGATGGTTGTTACTGCCATGTGGGTGCTGGGAACAAAACTCAGGTCCTTTGCAAGAGCAGCCAGTGTTCTTAACTGCTGAGCTATTGCTTCAGCCCTAATGTGATTTTTATAAACAGAAAAATAATTTAAGACAACAAACCCCTACCCCCACCTCTGTAGTAGTGACTTAGACCCTTTTTGGGGGTGACCATGTCTCTCTCAGCTGGCTTCCATGCTTTTAGTTTTTCTGTTCTGCCTTCCTAGAAGCTTGCATTTCTTCCTGCGGCATAACTTGGCTTCAGCCTGCTGACCTTCCCTCACTGCAGAATATGCCCTGAATCCTTGAACGTGCTGTGTTCCTGATTGCTGGATTTTTCTATTGCTTAGAACAAAAGTTCTCTTGGAATTACCTCTGCCTCTTAACTCTAGAACATGAGGAAACGGTCAGCTGTCCCCTCCCCTGCTGCTGCCGCAGCCCCTGGTTGCACGGAGCTTCCTACCTGCCTCCTGCTTCCTTCCTGCCTTGGTGACCACTGCCTTCCTTGAAATTTCCAGTATGTCATGTTGCTCCTGAAGACCTCTAAGAGCTCTCTGCCTCCCTCAAATGCCAGAGCCTAGTGTAGCTTGGTCCTTCCTTCTTCTTTGACCTTCTTTCTCTCCAAACGTCACCTAGTTGCTCAGTCATATCTGCACATGCCTGAAGAGATGTCTGCATGTGCTCTTCCCTGTCTCTGGAATGGTTTTCCCCTGGGTGTTTGCTCAGATATCAGTGTTGGGGAGACAGTCAGATGCTCCCCAGCCAGTCCTGTTGCACTGTGGCCTTCCACTGGAGGGTGAGGCAGATAAGGGTAGGACTTGCTTCCTTTGCCCTGAGCGTGCCCTCTTGTCCCCTTTGAGAGCTTGTTCTTTCTATTCCTTCTGTCCCTCCAGTCCATCTTCTTTGTTGGTTACTTTCTTGTCAGTTAATAGTTTCAACTTTTATTCACTGCAGCACAAACACCCTTCTGCGAACTTTGTTGCTCTCCTTCTTTTCTGGTGTCTTAAAGAGAGTAATGTGCCCTTGCCGCCTCCCACATCAGGTTTCTCTCTTGTCCTTTGTCACAGACTTCAGTCTCCCGCGTGCCGATGGAACTGCTTTGCCACAGGTCTCTGGCAGTGGGAAATGGGCGGTTTCCCTGCTTTGTTTCCCTTCATGCTGCCTGTGCTGATCGTGCCCTGCTGGCACTCTCTTTTCAGCCCTTGGAGGCCTTCCTTTTCCAATGTCCTCATCCTTCCCAGCTGTTGGCTAGTTCTCGCTCTGCCCCTTGCATTGGTGAGCATCTCATAGGGCTCCATTCTTACCTGTCTTCTTGCCTGGCTCTGAATCCTCCCTCGCGTGACTGACTGTCCTATCCTTTTAACTACTCTTTTTGGCTTATTGAGGCAGGTTTCCTAGTCCAGACTGGCCTCAAACTCAGTGTGTCACTGAGGATGACACTAAGCTTCTGATCTTTCTGTCTCTATCTCCTAAGTGCTGGGACTATAAGCTTGTGTCACCTTATCTGTTGTAAATACTCTTTGAGCCTATAGCCCTCAACTCTGTATAATTTGCCTTGATTTTTCCTTTGAACTTCAGGCATGTATTTCTAAGCTTGGATCTGCCCCTTTGTAGTTATGTGACCTTGGCCAAGTTCCATGATATGTCTGTGCCTTAGTTTCCCTCTTTGGTAAAATGGGTAGTAATCTGTTGAACATTGGGTCTCACCATTCTCTGTTGACATCTTTCTGGCTCTTTGTGGCCTGGCTGCTCCTTTCATTGCACCCCCAACTGTGCTCTTCCACTTAAGGTGTATTCAGCCACCCGGGCTGTGACCTTGCAAACCCTGGCATCTTTGAATGTACTGTTTTTCCTTTGGCTAAAGTGGCCTCCTTTCTCTAGTTCTGTCTGGGAATCTTGAGTGATCCTTCAAGACCATGCTTAAATCCTCTCCACACAGAGTTGATCCCCCTCATAACACCACATTGTATTGCAGTGATACAGCTGTCCTCACCCTTGATTCCCTCTCCTCCTTCTTCCCTCTTCTTCCTCTGGTGCCTCTCCCTCACCTTTTCCCTTCACCCCCCCCACGCTTTCTCTTTCTTCCTCTTGATCATCCTTTCCTCCCTATCCCTCTCTCTCCAGGGTCTTGCTTTATAACCCAAGCTGCTCGGAAACTCTGTGTAGCTTAGGCTGGCCTCAAACTTATGATCCCACCAGGTGTGTTGACACATGCCATACCTTTAAGCCCAACATTTTGGAGGCAGAGACAGGCAGATCTCTGTGAGTCTGAGGCCAGCCTGGTCTACATAGTGAGTGAGTTCTAGGCCAGCCAAGGCTATGTAGTGATACCCTGTCTCAAAACAAACAAAACCAACAATAATAAAAACTACCATTTTAACAAAACAAATTTATGATCTCCCTGCCTCACCTCTTGGGTGCTGGGATTATAGCCTTGCACCACTACATCCAGTAATGGTTTTTTCTATGTCTGTCTTCATGACCAGACAGTGAGCTCACTGGTGACAGGACTGTAGTCTCTTCTTCCTCTGCTGATTCAGGGCTTTTCACAATGACTGGCACAGAGCACACACTCCATACACACGTCAAATTAGTAGCCAGGGCCTCAGTTTACTGAGATTTCTGTACTTCAATTTCTACAGGCTACAGGAGCTAGTTGATCGAGTGCTGGAACGCTTCCAGGCATCGGGACTGATAGTGAAAGAGTGGAACAGTGTGAAACTGCATGCTACGGTCATGAACACACTATTCAGGAAAGACCCCAATGGTAAGTCCCTGCAGAGCTGTAGTGGAGTTGTGATCAGCAAGGCCTTGTGATAATAGCTAGAGACCTAGATGAATGGCCATCATGAGTCTCTTAGGCGTCTTTGTCTTTAGATCTGTTACCTTGTTTTAATGAGCCTAGTGGAAATGGTAGAGGCATACCTGGCATAGGGCTTGACATTCAAGTTTCTTAGTTCTGTCACTCATGGGGTTGTCAGATTTAACAAATAAAAATACAAGATGAGGGTTGGGAATGCAGTTTAGAAGTAGAGTGCCTGGTATCCTTGATGCCCTGACTTTAGTCCCTAGAACCTCTCTCTGAAAAACATATAGATACCCAGGTCAGTTTAAACTAAGCACTGCATAATTTCTTTCCTGTCTTCTTTCTTTCTCCTTCTTCCTTCCTTCTGCTTCATAGTCTTATGTATTCCAGACAAGCCTCAAACTTACTGGTTTCTGAGGATGACCTTAAACTCTAATCCTCTTATCTTTACCTCCCAAACGCTATGATTATAGGCAGACACTCCCACATCTGGTTTATGTGGTACTGGGAATCAAACTAGTACCTAGGCAAATACTTCCTGCATCCTAGGCACATACTTTATCAACTGAGCTACAAACTTGGCCCAATTTTTAGTTTATGTGTGTGTACTTCCATGTGTGTATGGATGCCCATGCATGTGGAACCAGAAGGTACCCTCATCTATCTAGGTACTGTCCATCTTGTTTTTCTTGAGACAGGGTCTGTCGCTTCCCTGGAACTTGCTAAGTAGTGTAGTCTGACTGGCCAGTGAGCCCTAGAGATCCTCCTGTCTGTCTCTGCCTCCCTAGTGCTGGCATTACAAGTGCCCCACCATGGCAGCTTTGTTTTTAAACCTGAGTTCTGGATTTTGAACTCAGGTCCTCATGCTTGAAGACATGCACTTTTCTCACTGAGTCATCAACTCTCCACCCTCAGTTTTTACTTTTTAATTGATATTATTTGGTGTGAATGTACTTCTTTTAAAACGTAATATGCTTTTTTTTTTTTTTTTTCCTTAGCAGGGAAACTTTTTGTTTTGTGTTTTTGAGACAGGCTCTCAAGTAGCCCAGTCTGGCCTCATATTCACCAGGTAGCTGAGGATGACTTTGAACTCTTGGTCCTCTTGCTTACACTTCCCAGGCAGTAGGATTGCAGGTGTGTGCCACTGCACCTGGCTCAGAACCTGCTTCTTTAAGCAATGAAATATGCCCAGGATTAGTGTCTTGTTTAGGAGAACACTTCTCATTGGAGAGATAGGCCTGGAGTTTCCCATATACATTGCTAGGTATATTATGTTCATAGAGTTGTTAGAACTCTGGCTAAATTCTGACCTGGTACTCTGCAGACCTGCTTAATAAAGGAACACACTCAAAAGTAGAAATATGAATACCTTTGAAAGTCTGCCAATAGGCAGAAAAGAGTTGGTATGTCAGAAAATATTCTGAAAGTTAAATAATTCTTGAAGGTGCTTTGAATTTTCTGTTCCCTGTACTCTATATTGAATTTTTTACTTGAAAAGGACATGCAGCGATGTGTCACTTTTTCTTTTCCGGCTTCCTTCCCCTTTGATATTCCTCTTCTGCCTGTCCTTTAAGGACATCTTTTGGGACACGCAACCTAAATTAACTCAATCAGCTAGAGCACAGCTTTGTTTAGGCCAAGGTCGTGGATTTACTGTCTTTCCTTGTAGCATGTCTGTAAAGATAGCTTCAGTGGTAGTAAAGGGCTCTTTTTCGTTTGGGGGGTTCTTTAAGTCAACCTAAAGCCTGGGCACTAGCAATTTTGAGTAGTTAATGTGTGAGCTTTTGTGTGTTTTTAAATAATTAAAATCAAATGCCGTTTATTTTGAGATTGCAGATGTCAAGGAACCCTGGAGGTCATTCAGTCTCAACCTCTGACTTTGTAAATGGAGAACTGAGGTCCATGGAGGAGGCATCATTTGCCTAAGATGGAGCTAGTTAAATAGTTACCAAGTGCATACAGTTAGTCCATGAGACTGTTGAATGAAGAAGTCTGTATGGAATGAGCTGTTGACTGCTGCCCGGGAGGCCATGCCTCTTGATTCTTAGCCTCCTTCCACCTGGTGCTACTTGCTAGTGGTGTAGGAAGATTTTGCTAGTAGCACCTGTGTAGCGGTCAAAATTCAAGAGAATACAAACCAACTATCCAGGTTCCTCTAACATTATCTTTGGAATATTTACAGCCGAAGGCAGGTACAATCTCTACACAGCAGATGGCAAATATATCTTCAAGGAAAGAGAATCATTTGATGGCCGAAACATTTTAAAGGTCAGTATGAAGCAGAGGGATTGGAAGCCCTTTGGCACATGCCCTAAATAAGAGAAGAAACAAGTTCTTTGCCTTTTGGCACAGGAATATATTTTTCTCTTGCTTTTCATGAAAGGATATTAAAATGTTTTAATGTCAGAGAGAGAGAGAGAGAAGGGAAGAGGAAGAGGGAGGGCAGGAGAGAGGAGGGCGATCAAGAGCCTTTAGACTTTGGCATTTCTAGAGTACTTGAAGTTGGCAATTTAAGAAGGAGAAACATTTCCCAGCCACTTTGATCCTTGGACTGAACCTGGTATCTTTTACTCTCTACTCTACACGTTTGAGTTTGCATCTTTAAGTTAAAAAAAATTTTTTTTGATCTAGTGGATTTTTTTTTCTCTTCACCCACAAAATCATTCTCCAAGGTTATTGTATAATCTGTTTTTACTCAGGAGCAGTCTGTGTCCTAAAAAGTAGGTAGTCATGTCTGACTGTTGAGACCTTGCTGTTTTGGTCACATTACTCTATGACATTTAAATACAAGGAGTTCTTTGGTTTTACATTTATATTTCTCCTGCAGACCACCTCTGTAATAGCCATGATTTATGCCTGCTCTGTCATGTTAACATGCCGTTGTTCCTGTGGGCAGAGAGACAGAGTCAATGCTGAAGGGAAGGCTGTTGATAATTCACAGGTTTTGTGAGGGTTTCGTGCCCAGCCCAGGGCTGTTCTTCAGAGGTAGATGGAGAGCATGTGTGTTTAGCATCAGAATAAGCTACAGCCTTGAAGTGCTTGTTCTCCCCTCCCTTCCCCACCTTCCATTCCTGTATATTGTCCCATGACAGTTTTCTTGCCAAATGCTTAATGAGACTCTATTGCCCGTAATTGGTGACATCATTCTTGAGCAGCTATGAATTGGGCCCAGTGGGCCACTAACTAGGCAAGTACTGCAGCACCCACCTTGCAGAGCTGCATCGATTCCTTCCTTTCCTTGACATGTTTCCTCCTTTTGAGTGCTTTTCTTATTTATTTGCTTTGAGACAGGGTCTTCTTAAGTTGCCAGGCTGACTTTGAATTTGGTATCAAACCCCCTGCCTCCGCCTCCCTCCTAGCTGGGATTTCAGGTGTGCACCGCTACATCTGGCTAGTAGTTTCTTGTTTGTGAAGTAGCTTTTGGGGTGACTGGCAGGTTGCTGATGAATTCAGCTTAGTTAATGTCACTGTCGTTCTCAGGCCACAGGGATTTGTGGCTCAAGTGCTTTTCCTGTTTCCTTGATTTGGGAATTTTCTGTTAATCACTTTTGTTTCCTTTCTTTCGTTGGTTGGTTTTGTGGTTTTGAGACAGGGTCTCATGTAGCCCAGGCTAACCTCAAACTCACAATGTAGTCATGGATGACTTTGAAGTCCTGATCCTCCTCCCTCCATCATCCAAGTACTGGGATTACAGGCTTCAGCCATGATTTCTGGTTTGCTTTGCTTTCTGCTGTTAATTTGATCTTTTTTAAAAAGAGACTATGATGGATGGAGAAATAAATCTTCAAGAACAGCTTACAGCATCTTGGTTTTCATGTGATTAGAATGAAAGTCCAAGCAGGTTGTAGATGCCAGCCAGGTGGAGGAACTTTGTGGGAAGAGCCTGTGGGCAGCTCAGGTACGGGTCCCTCCCTTGATGCTCAGTTTCTCTCATTCTGTTTTCTGTTTAAAGATGGTTTGGGGGTGGGGTCTGGGGATGGATGTAGCTAGTGCTAGAATGATTGCCCTAGGATGCGTGAGGCTCCAGGTTCTACCTCTCAGACCAGGAATGGGGGTGGGGGGGATGAAAGATGACTTTCCCTTAAAATTTCCTGAACCAGCCCAGGGATGACATGAGTCCATGAGTCTAGCTCCCTCTAGTGCTAACAAGCACCGCTATACCACAGTACCCTCATTCATGCTTAATCAGTTTTAGCGCTGGGCCCAGTGAGGGATTAGAGACCATTTAATCTAATTCCCAATTGAATCTCTATCAGGAGACTCACTGTGGTTAAAATGTCTCGCCCAAAGTACTTCTGGTTAGTGAAATAGACTAGAATCAGAGAAATAAGACTCAACTTTCTGTAAGGATGCTCAGTATTTTGATAGAGATCACAAGATGTTTGAGGCATGTCTTTCAGAACTGGAATAATGGCTGATTAAAATTCATTTTGTAAATGATGGGGCAGTTGGTGTGCCAGCTAGTCTAAAATTGTAACTGATTAGACTTGGGGGGCTGGGGGTGTAGCTCAGTGGTAGAATACATGTGTAGTATGAGCCAGATGTTGGGTTCAATCTCCAGGACTAAAATAATAATAATCAGACTTTTGTGTTAAATATAATACCAACACTAAAAATAATGTTTCCAGGCTCTGAGGTGAAACAGCTGTTTGATACAGTCCCTGCCTTTCAGGAGCTTCTGTCTTTGAAGGGGTACAGATGGCTAATAGGCAATTACCATATTAGATGGTGGGGAGAGGTGTGGCAGAGAAGGGCTTTGCACACGGTTAGGGTAATGTGTCCTCCAGTTTCTCATATTTGAATCCTTCATCATTAGTTGCAGAAAATATGACCTTTCCCCTGTGTTCAACTGAGGGAATTAAATTCTCTTTGAAAATAAAGGTAACTGTGGGTCTGTAAGGTAATAAATACATTTTGGAAGTAACTGCAGTGGATCACATTTTGGAATTACCATGAATGGATGTGCTTGCCAACCTGAACATGAGAATGTGTGGCCCCTGAAGCCCTTAAAAATGAAAAATACAAAAAATAAAACCAGTGGATTTCATATATTTTTATGATGAAATTATTTTAATTTTTGAAATATTTTATTTATTATTTTTATTTTATGTGTATGAATGTATTGCCTGCATGTATGTGAGTGCACCTGTGTTGTGCAGTGGCTGGGGGGTCAGAAGAGGGCTTCGGATTCCCCTGGAACTGGAGTTAAGGACGGTTCATAGCCACCACGTGGGTGCTGGGAATCAAAACCTGTTGTATGTGTGCACATGCATGTGGAGGTCAGAGGACAACTTACAAGAGTTGGTTCTGTCCTTCTACTATGTGGGTCCCAAGAATCAAACTGAGGTCATCACACACGGTGGCAGGCATTTTTGCTGCTGAGCCATCTTAAAATTATTATTTTAAGAAAGGGAAAAAATCCATTTCACTAACAAGCTAGGAACTGACTTGTAGAAAACAGAAAGGTTAACCAATTGGATATTAAGGAGCCCAGGCTTATGTGTACAGCATACCAACAGCTATACAGGCCAAGGATCAGGCACGCTGGAAATGAGAGGCAGCCTTGGAAAAAAAGTCAACCTCATCAACTATTCAAAGAGAAACAAAGCAAGAGAGAAAGTCATTGCTCATTGCTGTAAGAATTTAATGAGTATCCACCAATTGCTATTCTACTCCACGAGGGAAATTGGTCCTTTTGGCTCAGTGTTCTGAGTGCCTTAATAATAAGAAAAAAAAATATCTCTAATGATTTCTGGAGGTAGAAGGCACATTTTTCTTTTGTACAGCTCTTTTGAGAGTTGTAGCAACTGTAATAGACTAGTGTCCGGTTGTACCTAGTTAAAATAAGAATTTCCCTAAGAAAGACTTTTGAAGGAGGAACTGACAAAGAATCACTGTCCTGTGTTATTCAAAGCAGAAAAGGAGCAAACATACTCAATTATGGTGGTTTTTATGTCAGAATGACAGCTCTAAAAGGAGGATATATCAGCAAAGATGACCTAGCCAAATTAATAGAAAGCTGTTCCCTCGGACAGTTTCCATTTCTAAAAGATAGCAAGAAAGATGCCATTTGTATAACCATACGCAATGATCCACGTGCAATTGGAGAAATCAGGCTGACCTGAAGACTTACCTCAGGAAATAAGGGGAGAAGCTGATTGGTCATTAACTACCAGCTTCTAGGGAACCAGGCTTAATGACAGTCTGCTTATGATGCTTGGGAAATGGCCTTAAGCAATAGAATCGGTTTCCCAAGATTCTCCTGTCTGCAGTCTCAGGGTACAGAAGTAACTGCTCATCATGATAGCTTTAGACTACAGAGCTGCAGAATCCTGAGGAGGCCTTAGAACCCCACTCTGAACAGTTCATAGAAGGTGAAGTGGCAAAAGTAAATGGAGTCTGAGAGGACGAAGCAGTCACTGCAGGCCTCAGACCACAGGGTGCTGCCGTGCTTCAGTACTTGAGAAAACCCTGGTAGGGCTGAATGGCAGCAGCTTGTTCCAGGCTATTCAGGAGGCTGAGGCAGGAGGATTACAAGTTCAGGGCCTGCTTGGGCAACAGTGAGACCATGCCTCAAAATAAAAACCAGAAGAAGGCTGGATATAGAGCTCATCATAGAAAGCTTGCCTAGCATGCTTGAGGCCCTGGGTTCAGTCCTCAACACCAGAGGGGAAAAGTTTATTGCCTAGACTTTCAGCACTTGGGGGAGGGTGCTGAGGCAGAAGGATTGCCATGAGTTCAAGGCCATCTTGGGGGACATGAGTTCCAGGCCAGCTTAGGCTATAGAATAAGACCTTGTTTCAAAAACAAAAAATAAAAATGTGGAAAATACAAGGGAGATGAATTTATCATGATTATGTTTAAATGTAGAGAGGAGATTGGCAGCATTAAACTCACTATCAATTTTCTTTTTCTCTTTTTTTGGTCTTTTTGAGACAGGGTCTTACTGTAGCCTCTGCTGGCCTGGAACTCGCTATATAGACTAAACTGGCCTCAGACTCACAGAAGTCCATCTGCCTCTGCTTCCTGAGTGCTGGAATTAAAGGCATATACCACCATGCCCTGCCTAACTATATTAATACTAATAGTTTACCCTAAAATAAACATTAAATGTTTAAATAAACATTAAAATATGTTTTAATTGTTCCTAACACATTGAGACACTTCTTGAAAGATGTTATACTTAGTTTTAAACTTTACACAAAGTAGAGACACCTGGGAAAAGGTAACCTCAATTGAGGAATTACTTCCATTAGATTGGCCCGTGG